CCTCCATCCCCTGCCCCAGGCCTTTACACCCTGTTGTCTGTGTCCCTGGGTTATGCATAGATGCATACAAGTTCTTTGTTTGATCTCTTCCCACCCACCCTCCCCCACCTTCCCTCTGAGGTTCTACAGGCTGTTCCATGCTTCTGTGTCTCTTGATCTCTTTTGTTTGTCAGTTTGTTCATTAGCTACCACATGAGTGAGATCATGTGATACTTATCTTTCTCTGACTGGCTTATTTTGCTTAGCATAAGTCTCTACAGGTACATCCATGCTGTAAATTTGCATTTTTTTAAAAATCTTAGATATTTTCCTTCTGCCTCTCAATCCACTCTCCACTCATCTCCCCTCAGCCTTGTGTCCTAGGCTGACCTTTATTCACAATGTCATTAGGCCTCTTCTCTCGCCCTCTCTGTCTTCCTTTTGGTTTGTCCATGGGCAGGGGCAGGGGCAGCGGCAAGAGAGGAGAGGATGAAGGGAGACAGCAGTCTCAGAACTTGATTTCCTCTGCCTGACTCTGGGATCCAGGGCCACATTCCTCAACCATAGGCCATAGGTCCTATCCAGTGGACCTTTCCTATAACTCAGCTCTTTCTCCAGATTCCCGAACCTGTTCTCCACATGGAAGGGTGTTTGCTGGTCTCAGCCAACTGGTCTCCCAGGAGAGTCCTAGCTGGGGATGCTTTATTATCATGGATTGCTCTCCCTTTACCCCTCTGATATCTTCATGAATGGTCCCTTCACTAATTATCCCCCGTTGTCTATTTAAGGTGCCATGAGTTCCCCACTGAGACTCTGATTGATCCCTAAGTCTCAGTTAATCCACACTTAACATGCAGAATTTGGGGGTGGATGTGGAGATCAATGAGAAAGGCTTTCCTTCATTCCTGAGCGTCCACAGCAAACCAGCAAACAAACAGTTTCCATGTTGCTCCACTTTGTTTTGTCACAGTAGACATTTTAAAAGCAAACAAGGAGAGCCGTGTTCAAAAGTTATAAAGGCAGACGTTTTTAATCAATCTGTGATATTTGAATAATAAATACGAAGTGATGTATTGCTGCTGTCTCATTGAAAGCATTCTATTTGTTGTGAAATATTTATTTGTTCTAATTAAATAAAGATTGATGACATTTTTCCTTTTGGTGCACTAGTTCTAGTGTCCAGTTCAGCATAAGGACCATGAGTGTCCCTGCTCTGGGGCAGCTGTGTCTCTCCCGTCCATACCAGCTAAACATCACTCATATGCAGCAGGGACAGGTGGGTCTGGCCCTTGGTCCAGGATCCAGCCCTCAGGTGGATCCTTCTTAACCTGAGTGAGTGTTCCAAGGAGCATTCAGCCAATATTGAGATCCTAGGGAGTCCCAGGGCCACAGGAAAGGCCACCCTCAAGCTGTTAACCCCTTCCTTCTCAGATAAAAGCCAAACCAGAAGGTTGAAAGCAAAAAAAAAGAAGAAAAGGAAGTTTACTTATTTCCATAAGGATTGATAATTGTCTTATTCTTTCTGTCCCCAAAGCACCAAGCATAGTACCTTTCAGGTAATTGACTTTCAATAAATATATGTGAATCTTTTCATTAGGCTCATCTCAATCGCTTTTAGGGTCAGAACATGTTTGTTTGTTTTTTTTGTTTTGTAAGTATGTTTTTATTGATTTTTTTTCTTTTTTTTTAGAGAGGAAGGGCGAGGGAGAGAGAGGAAGACTGATGTGAGAGAGAATCATCTATTGGCTGCTTCCTGCACGCCCCCTACCGGGATGGACCCCAAAAGCCAGCATGGGCCCTGACTGGGAATCGGATCATGACCTCCTGGTTCATAGGTCACCACTCAACCATTGAGCCACACCAGCCATGCCATCAGTTCTTTATTTTAATGTGATCGTTAAATAATTTAGAGAGAAAAGGAGACTGGCCATGGCTGACAGGCGTAGTAGCAGCAGTGGGATGTGATCGCCAAGTTCCCACCCTGAATTCCTGTTTGTCTGACCTTGAGAAATAGCTTAGCTCCTCTAAGACTCCATGTGCTCAACTGTATAACAAGGCAAATAGCAGTTTCTATTTCTTGGTGTTGCCACAGTTAATGGAAATAACTCATACAGAGCATGTAGCTAATGTCTAACTCAAAGTTTCAGTACATTTTTAATAATAAAGTGTTTTATAATTTCAGAAATACTTACATGGCCTTTCCAGAACCTGGCATTTTGCTTTTCCCAAAGCTATTCATATATGTCCTGCACTCAAGCCAGAAAAGGAAATTATCTCTTTAGGCTTTATTTTAAAAGTCCACTGGATTATAGTCATTAGTTTTTGTTACTCACCTTGGGAATCTGAGGGCATTGAAAATTGTTGTGTTAATAGATGTTTGAAACTTATTACTAAATGCATGTTTTTGGAATTGAATAGGAAATGTTTCATATTATACTTCTATTCATATCAAAAAGTCTGCTAAGAGTAACAAGCAATGAAATCTGCCTGCGTATATTGATAAGAAATGGAGTGGGCTCTTCAAATGATGTCTCTTGCTGTTCAGGAATTTACCAGAAAGTTTGGCTGTGTGTCCTTAATTTGGGATTTTGTAGTTAATGGTCTTGGCCAGACCAAATCAAAAGAACGATCTGGCCTAGTCGCAGGCTCCCTTTTTGAGGGCATATGTGGACACCAGCTCTAAACCATCCCTGTGTCCTGCATTGGCCTGACCTTGAAATCTAGTGATTGGATGATGACACCTGGACCAAAAGGCACAAAACACAGAGAGGCCAACATCACGTGCCTGTTTCATCCTCACGACACGTTTACATGCTTCCTGATTTGAGGATCACTGATTGTGTGGGAACAAGAAAATAGGTGACTGTTCTCAGTTGTGAGATAACAGCAGAAAAGATTCGATGGCCATAGATATTGACGTGGGTAAAGATCAATTTGGACGTAAAGCTAACAAGACTCGCGATGGAGTTGGTATATTGGATGAGGTAGAGGAGGATGTAAAAAAATATATATTTAAAGGGAACACCACTTACCCAGCGTATACTCATTATATAGTTCTGTTCTACGATTGCTCTTTCAGCCCTTCCTGCAAATGCTGTCAAATATGTTATCTACAGAATGTGTGTGTGTGTCCGATCTTACCTGCACTGAAATTGGACTCCAGTGTCATGTCCCTCTCAATTCAAGCGCATTCTAGGCGCTAAAAAAAAAAAAGACACTTAGCGCTTGAATTAACTGTCACAAATCTCACTTAACTTTATGCTCAGCTCATTGTCATGTGCTCATCTTACACTAAGCCCTGTCTCAGTCACCGTCTGTTATTTCTTCATCCAGAGTTCCAGATGTCACGGGTATCTGCTTTCTCCGCAGAGCTTGCTAGGGGTTGACTTGCCAGAGTGAGTCAGGGAGACAAATCCAGGAAGTGACTTTCGAAAGACTGTCACTGAGGGAGGATGGAAAGAACTCAAAAAGTAGACACAAGGAGTGGCAAAGCAGAGCCACTGAGGGATGTTAAGGGTAAGAGCTGGGTGAGGGTCCTGTGTCTCATGCGCCCCAGAGGGCATGACTGAATGAGAGACTTCAGTCTTTGACGTCCATGTGCGCGGTTGGACTCATCACAGAAGTGATCCAATTACACTCATTACCATCTGAGTGAGAAGGCAGATGTGTAGCACTTGCTAGAAAGATTTCCTTCCAAATGGTCCAGATTTTGAAAGTTTGTACTTAAGAGCTGAGATTTAGTTATAATGAAAATGAACTTCTGTAAAACATCTCATTTCCCAATATATAGGGAAGTGAGATATTATACACATAATCCCAGCATAAAAGAAATTCTCTGTCCCCCAATTATGTACGAAAAGGGAAATATTGATTTGGGTACTTTCTGTTTCAATGTTGAGAAGTAGGTCAAGTAGATTGCATTTCAGACGTCTTACAAGTTCTTTAAGAGCTTCTGCAACACATTATTTGTACGTAGATGTGTGTGTGTGTGTGTGTGTGTGTGTGTGTGTGTGTGTGTTCAGTGATTGCTTAGCAGGGTGCCTGGCACATCATAAGTTCTTGTCCTTATTATAACTGTGATTTGATCCATCTTTTTTCTCTTAAATTTTCAATGAAGTACCTGGTTTTCTCTTAGGTATTTGTCATTTCTTAGTTTTAATTCATTTGTGCTTTTGTGTGTCTCATAGGCAGTGGCATTAAATCAAATGCTTTCTGGTGAGCATCCTCAGCGGTACCCCAGATGGTCCCCTAGAATAAAGGAGAGCCAGTGGGAGTAGCCATGCTCTTGTGGGACCATTGTGGCATGTGATGGTAAAACGAAGACTCTCTTTCCAAAATCTGGAAATGAGGGAAATAGACCTGCTTTCAGAAACATCCACTGTGCAAAGTTACCTTCAAAAAAGGAAAATGGGTCATAAGTAGCATTATTAAAGTATTAACTCATTGAAACTTTAAAAAGTGTTCATCCTTTAAGGAAGTATTGATCAAGGTCTAATTGACCAAAGAGAAAACGTGCGAGGCCTTTAAGACAGAATTTCTTTAATACGAGGAGCTGGTTACTGACGTGTCGGAGGAACAAAAGGGAAAGGGAAGTAGATGCAGAGCAAACAGGGAGACTGTGGGCTTAGCAATTTGATATTTAAGGGTTTAAAGACCCTTTTACCCTTTGGGAAAAGACAGGGTTCAGACTCGGAAATACCAGATGCTGTGATTCCACAAAATTAGGAGTCACATCAAATGCTTGTTGCCCGGCCAGTGTGGCTCAGTCCATGAACCAGGAGATCACGGTAGGATTCCTGATCAGAGCACATGCCCAGGTTGTGGGCTCCATCCCCAGAAGAGGCGTGCAGGAGGCGGCCAATCAATGTTTGTCTCTCATCAATGTTTCTCTCTCTCCCTCTCCCTTCCTCTCTATAAAGTCAATTAAAAAATATTTTTTAAAAACGAAGTGCTTGCTTTTTCGAAGTCATTCTTTGCTGTTGCCTACTCATCATACTCGGTGCCAATTGTTATCTTTCCAGGTGTGATCACACGCTACGGGCTCTATCTGGATGGACTGCTCATTCACAATTCCTCAGAGCTCAGCTGCCATGCTGATGGATTTGCTCCGTGGAGCTTACATTCTTTCAGAGTCCAGGCCTGCACGGCCAGAGGGTGTGCTCTGGGCCCACTGGTGAGTGTGTGTGGACAGCCTGGGGGTCATTCCATGTCAGGGGACAGGAACAGGAAAACGTAGGGCTCTCTGCTCAGCTAGCCTTTTAAGGAGGAGGGGGGGATTTCTTTTTATAAAGTGTCACTTAGGAGTTAGTAATTGTCTATATTCAACATAAATGTCAAGAGTGCACATAGTGAAGGACAGAATCATCTAAATGTTATTGAAAATAAAATGTGCAAACATACAATTTTGCCGAATTTAGTATCCTAGTTTAAGTACATTTTTTTCTCCCTGATATTGGGCTCTACAACTAAGTAAGTTTAAGTTTAAAAGGTGAAAATAATTGAAAGCCTGTAACTGCCACAATATGTCAATACTGCTCCACAATAATTGGGCTAATCAATGAGAAGATTGAGTTTGCCTCATCTATTAGAATAAAATATTTAAATTTTATGAGTGATATAGCTTCATGAGAACCGTATTTAAAATTACATTAATATCAGCTTTTCATATCCTCATTTCAGAAATCTACAACACACACCCATATTTCATTAGGAGCTAAAAGATTGATGAAATTGTGCTTTTTATTACTGGTGTCATTTTAAAAATCCAATTAATAGTACGTAATTGTCCTAGCAAGCCATTCTTTAGTTTCCAAACAGTACATTTTCATTTTGTGCGTTTTTTCTTGATTAATGAGATTTACCTTCTTTTAAGGGAAATGCTCATTAGTTTTAGATACTTTCTGGCAATCTTGGCTCATGCCCTGTCATTTTAATGCACTCTGTCTTCATTGAAGAGTGTATTGTATAAATATTACCTTGAAAAACAGCGCCACCATTTAAGTTTTGCTTCCTTATTTTTCACTGCGCCTCCCATTTTGTTTCAGCAATTGGTCGCTTTCCAAGCTGCTAATAACGTCATCTATCTGTGGAACCAAGCTGTAGTCTTTATTGCCATTAAGTATTTTATAGCCCAGACCCTCAGACGGTTACTTACTCTTAAAAGCAGGAATGGCAATAGGCCAGCTCTTCTTCTCCATTCAAAAAAATAAAAAAGGAAAAAGAAACAAAAGAACACTTCACAAGAGCTTGAAACTTAGACTTTTTCAAAAATAGAATCTGCTGATTATGGTCCCGGCTACTGCATGGGCTCCCCCCCACCCTGTCTCTGAATGTTCCCACAGCTTTAACCAAGGGGGACACGGTTATCGATCTGTGTCCTGCATGTATTGGAGGCGATGTGAGCCTCACGAAATCAAATGCCACAGAGCCCTGATGGGCAGGGGGAAACGGAATTGGACTGTAAAACCCACTCTGCCGCGGCCTCATCCGTTCCAGACCCAGTCCTGACACCTGGGGGACTTATTCTCTCCCCTCGAACTCGTCTTTATCCTGTGCTCACCGTGCAACGCTCTTCCCAAGTCAGTGATCCATCTCTACTCACTGGGCTTGAACGGCAATGCCTTTATTTAGAACAAGTCAACTAAATGCTGCCAGGAAGTTAAAACCTGTAGTCTTCAATTGATTTCTAAAATATTGTGTACCAATTACAGTATGAAATATGCCCTTAAGAGATTACATATGAGTACTCTGAATAGCCCTAGATATCTATCACAGTCATGTAGGATATTATAGATTCAGGTCTTTTTAGTTCATGA